GCCTGAATTTCCCCATTTGCGGGGGTACCCTGAAAGTGAGGCCCTGAGGGCCTGTCGTGCCTGCCTTCACTTAGGGCGGCCGTCCTTGTTGCAAATAAGGCCCGTAGGGCTAAGCGGGCATAGCCTCGCATCTCTCTCTTCCTCTCCTCGGCTATGGCTTCTCTCTCCCTTCTCAGTCTCTCCCTCTGTCCACTCTCTCTCCCTCCTTCGTCACTCCGTGGTCAAGCTCCGCGGCTATGGCCTTCTTCTTCTTCTTCGTGGACTGCACAACAGCTTCACAAGTACATAACAGCCAAACTTGTATCGCTCATCTCTCTCTCTCTCTCTCTCTCTCTCTCTCTCTCTCGCCGTAGCGGTATCTCCAGCGCAACAGGTACGTAGTAACCCAATCTTGTATTGCTCAACCTTCCTCTTTCCTCTCTCTCTCTCAGTCTTCTTCTTCGTCGTGGTGTTCTCTGCAGGTGCGCGGCGGCTTCTCCAACCTCCAGGTCCGCTATGGCGGACCTCTTCTCTTGGCGGCCACCTCAGCTATGGCGCATCACTCTCTGCACACGACGCAACGCGTGGTATAGCGGGTCCCAGCTCCAATACCAATGCAATCAGACTTGCTTTCATTCACACTTTACATGCATGTAAACAGTAGCGCAGCAAACTCGCGACATGCGCCCACTTCAAAACTCAGAGATATGGCAATCCAGACACGAGTTCACTTCCAATGGCTATGGCGACTTAGCGCCCAAACAACTCTCTGTTCGCATACACGGATCACCCTGGATATCCCACACGCGTCTCTCTGAACACTCACACACACACACACATGCTACACACTAACTCTAACTATGGCGGCTATGGCCGCAACTACCCTATCGCTATGCTACGCTCCTCTCTCGCCCACTTCAACAATATAGGCGATCTTCCTTCGGCCCACTTCGTCCTCGGGCATCTGCAGACAACCTCGCACAAGACGCTAGGGCAGTGCTTCCGCATGGCTCACGCAGGAATGAATGAATGGCTGGGCACTGCCTCTTGATTTATACTTCTGAAGCTCGTTGGTCTGCCCCTTTCCATCGACCCCTGGTGCACACAGTCCCTCATGGTACTTGCTGGACCGGACTGGGACTGACTGGACTGCACCGCTGACTACATGGGGACACACTGCTATCCTACCGAGGTCGTACTGCAATCGTACTGCAGTTAGTCCACCACCTGGCTCACCACTTGCCCACTTGCCCACTTGCCGACCTTCTAGAAGACTACAGCTAAGACTTCTAGACTTCACTAAGACTTCTATTCGACAGACCTACAGATCGAACCCCTACAACCTACAGACCTATGACTGCCTACCAGTTGCTTACGAATACATAGGTCACGGGTTCAACTCTCGGGGTCTACACAGGTACTGTACACGGTAGGGTGAGGGCTAGGGATCGAGCCCTGGGATCTGCATTTGCTCCTGCAAAAAGGTGAAAACCGTTTCAAGGACCTGTTTCAACCAAAAAAAAAAAAGAAAAAAAAAAAGGATGTCTTCTGCATCGTCCGATTCATATCAAGGGTCTGCTGGTCAATGAGGCCACTTCCACTAGAAATAACTTCACATCCCTCATCAAAATGGCCTTAGATTTAGAGGCAAAGTTTAGGAATGATGGCGTGGTGCAAGGAGGGTCAGCGGGGGTGAAGAAGAGACTGCCCCACAGCTGAAAGAAGAAGGGTCACCTTCTCTACATCGATCAGGAGGGTGCCTCCTGGTACCCTCTTGATCGATGTAGAGAAGGTGACCCTTCTTCTTTCAGCTGTGGGGCAGTCTCTTCTTCACCCCCGCTGACCCTCCTTGCACCACGCTATCATTCCTCAAACTTTGCCTCTAAATCTAAGGCCATTTTGACGAGGGATGTGAAATTATTTCTAGTGGAAGTGGCCTAATTGACCAGCAGACCCTTGATATGAATTGGACGATTCGGAAGACATCCTTTTTTTTTTTTTTTTTTTTTTTTTGGTTGAAACAGGTCCTTATGGTCCTGGCTCCATATCCATTCTGGGAAGCGTCAGTCCGGTTCCTTTCCACCGGCAAGTCAGGAATTGAAATACATGGTGGACACTCTCACGCCTCCTTCCGTCTGGCTGAAGGAACCCTGACCAGCATTGATTGCTCCAGAGCCAGAGGATTGACTGCCAGCTTGCCCTACCACTTTTCCTCAGAGTCTACTGTGGCTCTGTCAGACGAGTCGTGTAAAGCAAGAAAAGAGGAGAATCGCCTATATTGTTGAGATTGTACAGTCTCACGACCATCACAGAGGGATGCTTCCATCTGGATCAGACGGGGTTTATACCTGGGCGGTTTATATTAGATAATGTCATGGCTTTAACAAAGTCAGTACGATACATAAAAGACAAGAGAATGAATGTGGCAATACTATTTTTTCACTTTGAAAAGGCGTATGATCAGGTCAGTTGGCCTTTCCTTCAGCAATGCATGGAGAAAATGGGAGTGGGCCCAAACTTTTGCAAATGGATTAGAGTCCTCTATAACGATGCACATGGTCAAGTTCCGATTAATGGACACCTTTCACCAAAATACAGGATGTCGCGATCGGTCAGGCAAGGGGACCCTTTGGCTGCACCAATCTTCCTATTTATAATGGAGGCTGTGGCATCTTTTCTTAGAAAGGATCCATCAATCCAAAGACTTGTAACGGAGCCAGATCATCAAGGACGTCTTATCCACCTGCCTACAACCCTCCTCTTTGCGGACGACCTCACAGTACTAATTAGAGCAACAGACTCATCCTTTCAGGCTGAGACGCGAGCGATGAAGGCTTTTCAACTGGCATCGGAAATGAAGATTAACTGGCCGAAGACCGTAGGCTGGTGGTTGGCAGACCAGGAGGAAGGGGGTGAAAGCCCAGCCTCTAGCCCAGAAGGGCTCCAATGGGTACCATCATACGCTCAGTTAAGATATCTAGGTGTCAAGATAACTAAAGAGGGACCACACCACTTGATGGCAGCCGACCTCATGTCCAAGATCCTAGCAAAGTTGGGGGCCTGGTCAGCGGTGTATATGTCAGTCTTTGGTAGGGCCCTGATTCTGAAGGCATCCATCTTCTCCATGATACGGTATGCGGGGACGATCTGGACCCCACCAGCGCAGACAACATCCTTATTGAGAAGAAGAGCGGCAGCATATCTTTGGACATCTAATGCAACTAAACCTCACTTCATCTCTAAAGTAGCATGGAAGAACGTCACTCGACCGAAAGAACAGGGAGGTCTGGGCATTTTGGATCCAGAACAACAGCTCAAGGCGCTCCAAACGAACAGGGTCGTTAAATTAATTTCCCATCAAAGGCTACCCTGGATCTCATTAGCACTTCATAGGATCAGTCTTTACAGGAAATTTCTCTCTTAGAGGACGAAACAGAGCAAGGTAGTTGCTCAAGAGAGAAGAGTCGTCGCTGTGTGAAAGGATAAGGAAGCTGACTCTTCTAAAGGGTCAAAGAAAGGTCAAGAGCAGCCAATCAAGAGCCAGAACACCAACCTCATATTGAACAGGTACACCAACCTCATATTGAACAGTCACACGAGCACACTTATAAAAATGAAGAAAAGGTGATGTCCACTTGAGGGTGAGGCTTCACTGAGCAGTTTGCACAATGGCACTTAAAACTGTGTAGTATAGAGCCGGAACACATAGGCTATGCCTGCACCCAAACCCTCTCCTTTCGCTGCCAATATTGGCACTGCTGCTCCTCTTTACTCCATCAAAAATCACGAACTGAAAAATGAATGAACAGTAGTCCTAGCTAGTCACTTTTCGTTGAGCCAGTTTTGCCTGGGGCTACAGGGTCCTACCGGGCTGTGGCCTAGATAATTCTAGAAGTCTAGGTCCTATAGGGTCCTACGTGTCCAAGATTTTACTTAGAAGTCCCAAGTTCGAATCTGACTGGCAGCAAACTTGAAAAACGAAAATAAAACTTCTTTTTGCTTCACACTTGGGTCAGGTCTCAGGTTCAAATTCCCCGGAGCACAACGGAAAGACAGGAAACAAACATTTAGAAAAAGGAGTTAACAGGGAGAGGGAGAAGCAGAAAGAAGCAGACGCAGATAAAGACATGATAAGGGAGGAGAGGAGGACATGATGAGAGAGGATAGAAGAGCTCCAGAAAACAGCACTGAGATGACTCTTACCAAGATAGAGCAGGTGTCGTCTGGTTTGGCCCTATCTCCCCATGTGTGATGCATCTCCACAAAGTCGCTTTGATGATTACCAGTTTCACCTTCATCCCTCACATGCTTCCCACTTTTGACAATTAAGTCAAAACTGAAACCTCTCTCCACTTCTGATTCCAGTCTCTTCTTCCTCCTCATAATGTTTGCAAAATTGACTGAACCGCATTACCGCATTACTGCATTTCTTCAAGTATGCCCAACATTGGATCTGCATGCTGCAAACTTCAACAGTATCCATCTGACAGCATGCATGACCCATGCTGCCAGCTCCCCAAGGTACCCTTTTCATCACAGCGCAAACAAAGACTTTGCCAGATCGCACCCTGAATTACTTACATTCACAGCCATCCCTGTTGTGGCGTTCTCAAGTTTCTTTGTTGTTATCTCAGTGGGCGTGTCCCAATCCTCATCAATCTCTTCAGGCCCTTTCCTTGAGTCCAGCAACATTGTCACTGGTCCATCGTTCACAAGGTGAACCTGGTGAATGACAAACGACATACACATAGAGTGGTGAAGTCAACAACAATAAGTCATTGACTGAGTGCATCACGTTGTTCAATGTTGCCAGCATATCTTTGTCATAATGATACCAACGAGCTCTGTGAAACGAACGTTCATGAACAACATTGGATAAGTGGAACAATGCATGATACATTTGTGGACAACAAACTGTGGCTCAGTGGTTAGAGCACCGGTTGGAAATGCGCATTGTGGTATGAGGTTGTGGGTTCAAATCTGCAGCCTTGCGCATGGACACCGGCAGGGCGTTAGATTGACGCACGGCTGGACACACACACCCTTGGGATGACGCAGGTTAGCTATTACAGACACTGCTTGCGCACCACCCAAGGGGTAGCTCACGGTTGTTGTATGTCGGGACCGGGCGATGGTAAGATATCCTGATGTTCTTTGTTGCGGACTCCACCAGGGCTCGACCCCTGGTATATTTTGTTGCTGTTTTTGCTGCATCCCGTTTTTGGCCTGGCACCCTTTTTCCAAACCCCTCCTTTGGTACCGTCGGATTTTGGACAACTGGCGCCATGCTACAATTCGGGCGCCACTTTCAAATACCGCATTTTTCAGTTCTGCCCTCGGGGCTTTTGCAGAGATGCCCCTGGTACCGTACGTGTCACCGGCACTAATACCGGTTCCCCGTACAGTACGGGCAACCAGTCTCGTACCAGTTTCAGCTGATGTACGCGTACTCAGTGTGACTTGCTCCTGTTTTCGGCTTTCGGAATCCAAGACTTCGACTTTGTGTCCTTGCCACTGTGTCTGCGTCCGACCCTCAGTCGTGTCGAGTGAGTGAGCGTGTGTGTGTGCTCTCCCTCTCTCCCTCTCTCTCCCCTCTCCCTCGGCTCTCCCTGTCTCCCTCAGCCTCGCGCTCGTTACACTGGTATCGGAGCGGTTCGAACCCGCCCGACCCACCCTGCTTCGTCGCCGTGCCACGTCATCATCGTCATCGTCATCGTTGTCGCCGTGCCACTTCATCATCGTCCAGAACGTCATCGTCGTGCCACGCCATCATTGTCATCGTCGAAATCGTCGTCGTCACGCCACATCATCGTCGTCGCCATGCTCATCGTCCTCGTCGTTGCGCCACGTCATCCTCGTCGTCACCGTCGCTGTTCCACGACGCAAATAAGTAATCGACGACAATTTTCTTTTTTTATTATTATTTTTTTTTTCTTCTTCTTCTTCTCTTCTTCTTCTTCTCTTCTTCTTCTTCTTCATCTTCTTCTTCTTTCTCTTCGTTCTTTCCTTCTTCTTACCTTCTTCTTCTTCTTCTTCTTCTTCTTCTTCTTGTCGCGACCCCGATCCCGCTCCCCCCCCGACTCCGATCCTCCTCCCGTGCAACCTTCC